TTCCTCCTGTTTTTGCTTCTTGTCCCAACGGCGTGTCAATGGCGATCGTTACAAATGTCGAAATTGAGAAGAAGTTCTTTGACTTCTACGAGGGGGACAAAAACGTTTTTTATTCCAAGGAGCACGAGTTGTATATAAGTCTGTGTGGTGATAACATGTACTGTTTTAAGATAAATGAATGGGGTGGCAAAAGTAATAACAGCTTCAAATTTTACAATGCTATGCACCCCACGTGCGTTCTGGAATCCGCCGTCGATATTGATGACGTGAAGGAGACATATCATAAGAAGTACCTTAACAGACATTGCATATCTTTGTTCAGTTGTATAAGACTTCTGTACTACGCTGACGGAAATGTGTTTCTATGGACAGACGACAACAAGATACATCATTATACTTTGCAGCTGAACGATGCGGCGGCGAAGGGGGATGAGACACATGGCGACAATGAACAGAATGGTGATGTAAATGGCGAAGGGGAAGAGAGTGGGGACAGGAACGATATTTACTTGTATGATGAAGCGGAAGAGGAGAACAAGGGTGCATACTCATATTACTACAACTGGGTTCACTTAAAGGAGAAGAAAGTTTGGAAATCGCAAAATGTCGTTGTAACCTGTTTTGGGTATTCTGGTGAGGGCGGCAAGCAGTTACTCGTTGGCTACATCAATGGGTTAGTTAACGTTTATAATTTGAAGTCCCATAAGTTAAAATATTCCTACAGAATACACAACAGTCGAATTACCAACTTGAGAATGTATCGCAATTTTATTATCAGCTCTGATGTGACAAAGAATGTTTTCATTTATGACTTTGCCAAGGGGGAGAAGGTCGCAGCGTGTGAGGACCACATGAGTGGCATCACTGACTTCCTCTTTTTGGCCGTTCAGGGAGGGGCAGTCCCGAAGGGGGAGCAAAACGAGGATGAGTCCGTCGTGCAGGAGGTGGATGAAACGAACTCAGACGGTGTAGAGGCGGAAGAGTGCGATGAGGAGGAAGTAGCGAATGAAGAAAAGCTGATCGGGTTCATCACGGTGGGTAATGACAAAATCATGAACGTCTGGGATCTGAGCCTTCTTAACGCCCAGGACGAAGAAGAATTCAACACCCTAAAGAACGAGTACAGTAACAAGAAGAAAAAGAAAAAAAGCCGAAACAGCGACGTAGTCTCGCTTAGCCCCATAAAGCAGATATACCTCGTGGACGACATAAACCACGCGCTGGTAATTCCATCGAGTATCTTCAAAGGAAAAAAAAGCAAGTTAATAATAAACGATGAAAATGTAAAATGGTTAATCCTAACGCATGACGCGGAAGGAAACTTTATTTTTTACAACCCAATTAAGGCAGAAATCATTTTCAAATTTACAGAAAATAATGCATTAATTAACCAAAGTAATGTACACAAATTTATTCTCATAAGAAATAATTTACATGTGTTTAGGGAAGACAGCTCTTTATTAATTTATGACTTACGTGATTTCAGGATTGTAAAAAATTACGCTTGCAGAATTGAGGGCATTTTTGAAATGCTCCTGTTAAGTCCTGTAGGCAGGGGAGAACAACCATGTGATAATTCTCCAAGTGATGAGGACGAATTGGCACTGGAAGACACATCACATGGAAGTCTAAGTGAAAACCAATTTGTGGTCCTCACAGGAGATAATATAATTCGAATTTTAAATTTTGAGGAAAATCTCATTCAGCAAACTTTACTCATAGGCCATGAAGACGTCGTGTCATGTATAAAGCTGAGCGAAAAAAACCAGCTGCTGTTTAGCGGGTCCAATGATATGAACATTTTTGTATGGAGCTTAAGAAGTAATCATTGCATTTACATACTCAAGGACAATTTATATACCATCAATGCCATTGACGTAAATGTGAAGAGGTTTCCCCGCATTGTCCTTGTGAGTGTGTGTGAGGACAGCAGTTTGAAGCTGTGGAATTTTACCGTCAATTTAGAGGTTATCCAAGGGGGAAAGGAAAGTAAAAAGAGAAAATTGGGGGATGACTTTTTTGAGGACAAGGAGATTTTCCAGAGTAACTTTACCATTTATCCACACAAGGTTACAATAAACGATGTGGCCATATCGCACAACTGCAAGGTAAGAATGTGAGGGAGGTGGGGGGCAGTCGTATTTGCCCCAGCGTATTTATTATGGGAAGGTTCCATCCCTACAGTTACGTTCTTCATTGTGTGTCTTCTACGAAGGTGGCGAGGGAAAAACGAGAGAAAAGATAACGCCTTTTGTGCGCCCGCAATGCACCTTTTTTACACCCCTTTTTTACTTCCCACCTGCAGATGGTTGCCACATGCAGCAAGGACAAAACGATCAAACTGTTCGAGGTCGCAAATCTGAAACTGATCAGAACACTGGAGGGGCACAAAAAGCCAGTTCAAAATATTCAGTTCTCCAAGACGGATCACATTCTGTATAGCAACTCATACGATGGCTTGAGGATATGGAGCCTGACCAACTTTGAATGCGTGAAGAGCATCCAGAGCCTAGACTTTAACTTAACAAAAATTTTAATTCTAAATGATAACTGCATGATTAATGCATTCAGCAATGGAAACATTAGTATTGTGAATATTAAGAATTGTGAAAAGGTGTCTACTGTAAATTACCACAAGGACAAAATATTTTGCCTTCAACAGTGCGGAAATGACAGCATTGCTTCTGCATCCCTAAATGGAGAATTGCTGTTCTTAAAAAACGTTAGTGCAAAGGTATGTACAGAAAATATGCTACACAAGAGGAAACACTTATTCTATGAAAACCAGCTGGAAAATTTGCTAAGTGAAAATAAAACAAACGAATCTTTGCTCATGTGTTTGAAGCTCAATAAAAAATTTAAATTCAAAACCGTTATAGAAACCTATCTAAATCGTTATACCTTCTCCATTTTGCACCTTTTAAAAAAGTTCGAGTATGAGTATGGTATAAGGAAGATAACCCAGAGGGGAAGGGATAGCCCTGGTGTCGTTTCTGGGGGGAAAGGCACAAAAGGGGGAGACTCCATCAACGATACTTCTAACAGTGGAGAAAGGCCCACAAATGGCACACTGCAGAGCAACCTATCCGATGACGACCTTATTGTTGGTAGCATACACAACTATTTGGAAAATGCAGATGTGTTGCAAAATTACATTTACGAAGAGTTGTTAAAAATGATACCTAGTGGGTCGAACGAAGCGGTTGCGTGTGAAAAGGGGAGACTTCAACACAATGGGGGGGAGCAAGAAGCTGGGGAACGGCGAAACCATGACGAGGGGGGTGACTGCGAACATGGTAACCCCGACGAGGATGAAAACTTTGTGCTGTTTTTAAAACGAATGAAGGATAAAAACGAGCACTCCTACTTCCTATACCTTAACAAGCTGATGGACTTCATTTCCTTCTTCATCATGAACCACAGATATGCTTACATTTCTAATTTCCTCCTCAACAGCGTAATCACCTATATTGACTACGCCGACATTTGCAAAATTAATGACTACAAACGTTTTTTCGAAATATACAATAGTTATGCACCGAGGCACAAAAACAGGTACCTTCAGTCGCTACAGAAATCCAAGTGCTTCGAGTTAATTAATATTAATTATTATAAGGGCGACATCAAAATGATGGGTTGAGGGAAGCGGTGATGGTGTGGAGTTGGACAAACAGGGCACCACAGGGAAACTGTCCTGACAATGACAGTGTAATAAATGAGCAATGTTCCATTTGCGACATTTTTTTTTTATGTGTATACCCCCCGTTCCCCGCGTCACATTACCAGTGTGCTGCTTCACGTTGTCAAATACCCTTTCGAAAAACCTTCCACATGAATGCATTTATTTGTCTGCGCCGCACTGCGCGGCTCCAATTTCTTTCCTTTTTTGTACCACTACGCGTTTATATGCATAATTTGGAGACAGCAGTTGTCGTGTTTTGTTTGCATGCCGAACGAAAAGGGCACTTGCTCGTCTATTTTTTTTTTTTTTTTTTTTTTCTACCTCCCTTTTCCGTTTGTTTAAATAATACACATGATAATTAAAAAGAGACATACAAAAAAAAGCGAAGTTTGGGGAAATACACAAAAAAAAAAAAAAAAAAAATACATTACCCACATATTTGTGACGCGTCGCTAACGCGCTGTTGATAAAACTTCTGCAAACCCCTTAACCATAAAAAAACTTTAAAAAAAGACGCTGCGACAAGCTGATGAACGTGCTGGCTAGCAGGAAGGAGAATTTAAATAGCCCCTTGGTCGTGACGTAGCTCATGCAGCCAAGTGTGAACATCGCAGGCATACCCACACAACAGCAAAAGTATAAAAGCACGAGGGATTGCTCCAATTGGTTTTTAAGATTTTTAATTGTACTCTTAAAACAATTTTTGTCGCATAATAAAAACTCCTCATTCTCGTGAACACAAAGGGTGCTCATGTCTATGTTATCAAATTGGAACAGCTCCTTTATTATGACTATGATGTCCTTGCTGCTTTTATCTTTGAAACTGAAATTTTTCCTCAGGGGCAGTATGTTCAAGGATTCGTCCTCATTATAATTGTTTCTACCGCTGGGCGGGTCCTTGCGTTCTTCGCGGTGTGGGCGTTTTGCTCCGTTTGAGTGGTGGCTGCCGTTTGGGTGGTCCGTGCTGCTGGACTGGCTCGCGCTACTCATTTCTTCCAATTTGTCCGCCTCCCCCGAGTTGTCACTCTCATCAGATCCCTCCTCCTCGCTTCCATCCATGTGGGCATTAGCCAAGCGACTGCTTCTCAGGAGCGGCGCGGGTCCATCATCAGCTATCCTGCCCGACGGAGGCGAGAAATTTAGCAAGCGCTGATAATTAGCCTCACTTGTTTCGAAATCCCATTCGGATGCACCAGTGGTCCTTCCTCTGCGGGAAATACTTGGACCACTATTAGTTGCGTTGTTGAAGAAATTATTTTCTCTTTGTACAAGGGCTCCATTACTTTGCGTGGGCACTCCGTTGCTTAGATCTACCGTTGGGCCTCTCTGTCCAGGAGGTGATTTACACACAAAACGATCAAGGGTACGCTGAACCCTCCTCAAAAGAGATAACTTCCTCGACAAATAATTATCACAAGAAAAATACGTATTCGTCAGATACTTGTTATAATTAAAAAAATTAAAATTTGTATTCATTAATAAGTTGTAGTAAAAAGAATAATATGTATACGTAGACCTGACGCTAAGTTCATATTTTTCCTTTAGGGTTAATATGAAAATGCGATTTTTATAATAAAATAAATTGTAGCAACTTGAACATCGTATTAATCTATGCTCACATGCTTCTTCGTGCAATTTTAATTTATTCCTTTTGTCATAATAATCACATCCTAACATGTAATTTTTGCACCTTTTGTACTTACAAAATTTTAAATGTTTCTCGTAATTTTTTATTTTCAGTTCGTCGGTACATAAGTTACACCTTATTCTTAATTGTTCATATTCTTTTTTTCTTTTCCCTGCAGAGGAGGAACAATGTGTGACAGTGAGCGCAGACTGTGTAACTGGTCAAAATGCATTATTTGAACTCGTGCAAATAATATTGCATCTCATGTAGAGCAAAGAATGTCACTCATTCGATTAGCACATGGGCATAGGGGGGGTCATTGTTCTCACCCGATATTCTCTTCAACTCATTATTTCGAATGGCTTGTTTGCAAATGGGACATTTTCTCTTGTGTAGAAGGGAGTAGTACAAACATTTGTAGCAACTGCGAAATGTGTGTGTTGGGGGAGGGGTACATGAAGAATGACGTGATCCTTGAATTGTACGGGTTGGACATAAGACGAATGATCAAATTTCAATCGTAAAGGTGTGGCCACATCAACGAACAAATCTGCACCACTCAACAAGCTCACCATATGTGGTTGCACACAGTCACCACCGGGGTGTGACATATGTCTAGACAGACGGAACAAATAAAATCTGAAAAAGGAGCAGAAATACAGAGACATGGGAGGGTGAAGGCATTGTGTAATGTAAAAATGATATGCACATTGGGCGGACAGAGGTCCCGCCTTGTGTTTATTTTCCCCCCTTGTGTAAAGATTACTTTCGTAAGTTTTTTTTTCTTCTACGCAGTTGGTCCGTAAGAACGGAGAACCAATATGAAAAAGGGACAGTACGCTCATGTTGTAGTTTGTTTCGTATGGTTGTTTTGCTATTTGACCCCTATGCCACTTTATTGCTTCGGCTTGGCTTTTTTTTTTTTTTTTTTTTTTTTTTTTTTTT